TGAGAACGGACCCACGAATCACGATGCATTTGCTTCCATTGCCCAAAGCCCTCAGCAGCCTTGCGACTGATGCGGTCATCGATGGATCTCTTGATGGGGATAAGAACCCCAGGAAAAAGCCGCGCCGTGAGCGCCGCACATCCGCACTCTCAGCCGCGGTGAAGGTGGACAACATGCCCAAAGAGCTCAAAGACTGCAAGTTCTATACTGATCAGTCGGGCCGCCGGCTTTGCTGGACCCACAATACCGGGACTTGTAATGCTGCAACGGATGGAGGACACCCGCCAGCATGCAAGCGCGGAGTGCACGCCTGCATGGGATGCCGGAAAGTTGGCCACGGATGGTCAGCCTGCTGGTTTAACAAAGCCAACAGCAAAGGCAAAGGCGGGAAAGGCGGAGGAAAAGGATCCGGGAAGGCTGACGGGAAGGCCGACAAAGAGTGACTAGCCTCCCGTAACCTCTCCGATAGAACAGTGCATGCTCAAGCCAGAAGTCGCTCTCCCAAGAGAGTCCGTGCTTCCGGCCACAAATCGAATTCAGATCGGACTGAGACTCCTTGCTATGACCCGCCACACTTCTTTGGATATCGTGAGCCCCAAGATCAAATCTTGTTGAGCTCTGAAGTGCGCGAAGAGCCGGCTTTGCAGCATCGTGATTCTTCCGAGTGCTCGGCCCAAACCTTCGCTGCCGATCCTGCTCATGACCATTTCGAGGTGAGCCGCTTGCAATTTTTCTTCACTCCGCATCACGTGTCAGATCACGGCCAACACCCGGCTGAAGAGTTCGCGAGAAGTTGTCTTCAGCAAGGCTCAGGCGACTCTTCGTCCTGGATGGAACTCGCGGAGCTTTTGCCCGACGAGGAATCCTCCCGTGAGACGGCACAAGACCCACTTGAGAAGTGTTTCATCACCGGTGCTTACAACCAAGGCGGGATCACCGGAGTGCGACGTAACTGCCGACAGTTCCCAGCCTGCACCCGCCTGCTGGTTACCCTAGCTAGGATAGCCTTCCCCGGTTTGACATTTACATCTGTTGGCCTTTTCCGCAACATGCAGACTGCTCTGCATAAAGACGCCAACAACTTGCCAAGATCTCGCAACGGGATCTGCGCCCTCAGCTTTTTCGAAGGAGGTCAGTTGCGCCTTCACCGCGCCGATGGGCCAGTGAACTTGTCACTCAGCGAAGGACCGCTTCAGTTCGACCCCTTTCTCGAGCACGAGACACTGCCTTGGTCTAATGGTTCTAGGATAGTCTTGGTTGCCTTTTCGGTGAACTGCCTTGAGCGCCTCACGCCGGAGCATCGAGCAGTGCTTGCTGCATTCGACTTTCGTCTGCCGCTTTCTAAGGACCAGTCTGAGGTCGCATCGCAGGTTTCCCAGGCCGACTCTCGGCCGGCTTCGCAATTACCTCAGACCGATGAAGAGGCTGGCATGTTCCTTGAGTTGTTCGCCGGCACCGCCCGATTGAGTCAGGCATTCACGCGCTTAGGTTTCCAAGCTCTGGCTTTTGATAAGGTCTGCAGGTCCAGCCATCCCGTTCAGGCGCTCGATTTCGCTGATCGGTCTGAATGCGAGGTCGTGCTGCAACTAATCCAGGACCATGCCTCTTCCTTGCAGTATGTGCACCTGGCTCCACCTCAGGAGACCTGCTTGGCTGCCCGAAACAAAGAATCTGCGACTAACCCGGCCCCTCCGGCCCGGTCAGCCGCGCAGCCCTTAGGTTTGGAAGGATTGCCAGAGTCGTTGCAAAGGCAAGTCACTGAAGCCAACGACCTTTACATGTTCAGTCATGATGTGTTCATGCTGTGTCGGAAGTTCAATATTGTAGTCAGTGTGGAGGCTCCCGCCTCCTCTCTCTTTTGGCTTCTACCAATGATTCAGGACCTCTTGTCCTGTGCCGATAATCAGGTCGTGGATTTTCACGAGTGCATGCATGGCGGTGATCGAGATCGAAAGCTGCGCTGGCTTTGCTCGGCTCCATGGTTCAAGCCCTTGGGGCTCTCGTGTAACCGCATGCACCCGCATGCGCCCTGGAACGCAGCTTCCGATACAGGAACCAAAGGTGCATATCCACCTCTCTTGTGCGCTAGAATCGCCGAGTTGGTTGCTTCTCAGGTCTGCAGTCTTCCTGCTGCCCCATCTTTGTTCGGGCCGGCCAGCTCCGTCACACGGCTGGCTTATGAGAAACAACCCCGTAAGCACCGGGCCTTAGTCAGTGAGTTCGGCGCTTATGATGCTTGGGCTGTGCCGCTGGGCTTCACTGCCTGTCCGCCCGCCTTGCTGAAAGCGTACCCTAAAGGTGCTCGTGCTGTTCGTCGCAAGCTTTTGCATTGGGGTCAGATAAGGGCTTGCGTTCTCCCTAGCCTTGATTTCGCTTTGCTTGAATCTAATTTGGGATCCAACTGGAAATGGAGTATGGACTCGCATGCTCCCCCTCTCGAAGAAGAGGACCAGCCCATTTGCAAAGTTTGTGGATTCATGAGTGACTCGACCTTTGAAGATTTGTGCGAGGTACTCTGGATAGGCATTCCCCGCTCTCCGTCAGACTTCGTGCAGCAAGCAGTGTTGGCGGGCCACCCAAAAAGGATACTTGAGAATCAGATCGACGAGCGAACCAAGCTCCTTGTAGATAACCTTTTGACCGGACGCGCAGCCTGCGAGGACCTGGGGAAATCGCGACTAGCAGAGTGGAACGAAATCGCTAAGGAACTCGAGCCTGTGGAGGAACAGGCTCAGAAATCACTGGATCCTTTAGTGAGCAAAATCATCGACGGGAAGAAAACCTTCCTACTCGAAAGGTTGCTTGCCGACTCATCTTTTCCAGACAAGTCCTTAGTCCCCGACCTTAGGAAGGGTTTTCCGCTGACCGGATGGATGCCTAGAACTGGGTTGTTCGTTGGCGAACCTCGCCCCCCTAAGACCAGCCTTGACAAACAGCTTAGATGTGCTTCAGCCAGGAATGCCGCTACGCTGGCCAGAGTCTCTTCTCAGCCTGTTGATGCTGTCGCTGAAAAGGCCTGGTCCGAAACGCTCGAGGAACAGCAGAAAGGCTGGCTGTTTGAGGACCCAGCTCCGGACCTTTCGTCTGTCTTAGTGGCCCGAAGGTTCGGTATCATCCAAGGCGCCAAGACCAGAGTGATAGATGACGGGAAGGCAGCCGGGATCAATCAGACCGTTGGGTTGCCCGAACGTTTCAGGCTACACAGCATCGATTTCATCTCGGCCTTCCTTGTCTGGGCCATGATGGACCCACGGGCCAAAGGGAAACAGGTGTCGGGAAAAACCATTGATTTAAAATGGGCATACAAACAGTACGCTGTCAATCCCTCTGATCGGGAAATCTTCCGAATCGTTGTACTTGATACGTGTTCGAGGAAACCCAAATTCTTCGGAGCGGCAGCACTCCCCTTCGGAACGACGGGATCCGTGGCAGGATTCCTGAGAACGTCTGCTGCCACGTGGCATATCGGCTCAGCCCTGCTGGGCCTCTCCTGGTGCAATTATTTTGACGACTTTCCTCTTTTCAGTTTGGACGAGCACTGTCCTTGTGCCGAATCTTGTGCGGAGGCCCTGCTAGACATCCTCGGAATAACTTTCGCAAAGGAAGGGAAGAAAGCCACCGAGTTCTCCAAGCAATGTCGGGCCCTTGGCCTGATTATTGATCTGAGTGAATTCGGAAATGGAGTCGTGTACATCAAGCACACGCCAGAGCGCATTCAGGAATTGAGGCAGACCCTCACACGTATTCTTGATTCCGGCTTGCTTGAGTCGTCGGAAGCCGAAGCCCTTCGAGGCAGACTCCATTGGTTCAGCTCTTTCCTTTTCGGCCGCCGGCCCTGCCAAGCCTTGAGAGTCTTAGGTCTTAGGGCTAAAGGTTTGGATAGAGGTAGGAAGCTGAGCAGTGACCTTCGTGATGCTCTCACGTACCTGCGTGATCGAGCTCTGGAGTCGCCACCTGTGCAGCTCACGCCTGACATCAAAGAAACCTTTTACGTCTTCACTGACGGAAGCCTCGAGGGAGAAGTAGCCGGCGTGGGCGGCATTTTGTACGACCCACTCGGTAAACCTCTTTCTTTCTTTGCAGCCAGCCTTCCGCTTGATGCCCTGAACAGACTCAAGGAAACTTCGAGCCACCCAATCTACGAGATTGAGTTGCTGGCCATCTGGGCCGCTTTAAAGCTGTGGATGAACCGACTTACCCGTTGCCTAGTAGTGGTTTACCTTGACAACGAAGCTGCGAAGGGAGCCTTGGTATCAGGGAAGTCGTCGACCCTTCCTGGTCAGTCCATAGTGAGTTCGGTTCTCGACTTAGAGGACTCAGCAAGGATCCGTCCGTGGTATGGCCGAGTGCCAACCAGCTCTAATCCAGCAGACGAGCCCAGTCGAAGTGTCTTCGGTCATTTACTGAGGGAAGGAGTGCAAAGGCTTCAAGCTCCGTGCGCTTGGCCGGTTTGATGCATCTGCTTACCGAGCTCGCTCTCAGATGGGGTGTGGCAGGGCGAGCAAGGTGTAAACAAACTCGAGACTTACTGCACCCCTTTGCCCTCTCGAGAGAAAACGAAGACGCTGTCCGAGTGTGTAGCATTGCTTTGAAGTTTTCGCATGTGCTGAACAACAGTCAAGTTTAGGAGATTCTCACGCGGTCAACACTAAGGAAATAAAGTTCCGGTCCCGGAGGGACGATGCTCTTATTTCCGTGTGTTGATGAATTTTCTCTTGGAAAATTCAAGCGTGGCCTCTTTGCAAATTTATGCTTCAGCTTTCAACACATGTCATTTGCCTTGTGCTTGAACAGAAGGATCCCTCGACCATCCGATGGCCTCTGCTCGAGATGGGAGGGATGTGGAGGTAGAAGCTTTTCTCTGGCCCATGAAATTTTGGCCCGCCCTCCCTCGCCTTTGCTGAAGTACCATCTTTGTCTTGCCTAACCCTGCCGCTTGTGGCAGGGCGAGCAAGGTGTAAACAAACTCGAGACTTACTGCACCCCTTTGCCCTCTCGAGAGAAAACGAAGACGCTGTCCGAGTGTGTAGCATTGCTTTGAAGTTTTCGCATGTGCTGAACAACAGTCAAGTTTAGGAGATTCTCACGCGGTCAACACTAAGGAAATAAATTTTGTTAAATATTTAGAAATATTGAATAATAATGAATGTGATACTGTAACTTTTAACAGTATAAGAAGCAAACAACATCAAATATATTCTATAAAACAGACTAAACAAGCTTTATCAAGTTATGATAATAAACGTTATTATTTAGATAGTGTAAGAAGCCTACCTTATGGGCACTTTAGAATAAAAGATATTTAAAGGATTAATTTTAGTAGAGATACTATTAAAATAAATCAAAAATATTTGTCGTTTTCTTTCTTTATCTTATAATACTCAAGAGTGCTACTTTTAGGATATAAGATTTCATTATTGTTCAACTTAGCCAGATAAGTATTTCTTTTAATGAAACATCTTTATCAGGTGATGGTTTATTGTATACTTTTGTTTTTTCTATTAATCTGTCTTCTATCTCTCCTAATTTATGATAAATTTGTTGCATGCCTTTTACAAGTTCTTCTCTTAAACATACCATGTTCAAATCTACTTTTTGTTCCATATAAAAGTTTTTCGACTAAAACTTTTATATTAAATTTTTATGTATTATTTTAATTTTCAATTTTTTATATCTTTTGTCAGCATCTCTTATGGATGCTTCTATCGTTGGTTTATTCCATAATATATTTTTTGCCCACATACCAGCAGTTTCGTAATCCTTCCAGTCTTGATTAACTTTATGTCTCGCTATATATCTGTCTTTTCTTTCTTCATCCTTATGTTTTGTAAAGTCGCTGTAACCCTTAGAACCAAATGAAATAGTTTTAGTATTTCCTTTTTATCTGTTATAACAGCATCGTATTTTTTACCTTTAGAACTAGATTTTTGTATAACAACTTCAGCCATATTATTAATATTCAGAAAAATATTAATAATATTTTTTTTTAAACTTGCTACTATAGGGGTTCTCTTCTCCATAACAAACGAATTCTTTAATTCGTGTTGTAATGTCTTACTCTGTTATACACTTATGGTATTTGTAAGTTTTTACAACAATTTAGAATTTAGAATTATTAAGGGAACGCAGTCGGGGGAATTTTTTAGGATGATATTACTCGTAATATTATCAGTAAAAAGTAGAAATTAATTTCTAAATATTATTAATGAATACTCCACTAGTAAAGCCTATTAATGTTAAAGAATATGAATTCAAGCAATCTAAATACGAAGTAGCACCGAGACTACCTTTTAGTCAAATAATTGTAGGTCCTAGCGGTTCCGGTAAGGGTATATTATTACAAGCAATGATATTAGATATTTATCGTGATGTGTTTGTTAGAATATACATTTGGTCACCTTCAATTTCAGTTGACAGTAATTGGACACCAGTTAAAAAATATATTCAAGATAATTTAAAGGTTGATTTAGAAAAGGAGAAATGTTTATTTGATGATTACATACCAGAAGAACTAGAAGCTGTAATAAATAGACAACACAAGGTAATAGAATATCAAAAAAAGAATGACCATAATAAACTACATTCAATACTGATAATTGTTGATGATTTTGCAGACAGTAAAGCTTTTTCAAGAAACCCACCTTTATTAAATCAGTTGTATGTTCGTGGTCGTCACAATGCTATATATATATATATATATTATAACAAGCACGGAAATTTAATGCCTTATCTCCAGTTATTCGTGTAAATAGTCGTCAGTTATTTTTTTTAGGTTAAGGAACTACAAAGAAATAGAGACAATGGTTGAAGAATTAAGCGCGGTATTGATTAAAAAATCAAGTGTAGCAGATACTAAAAACCTTGGAGAAGCAAAGAAATTATTATTAGAAGTATATAACATAGCCACTGAAGAACCATACAGCTTTTTATTTATTAACCTAATGAAAGTTGATGTTAATGATATGTTTTATAAACCATTTAATGCTAAATTAGTAATTGATTAAATTAATTTTTCCTTTTTGCTTTTGCTTTTGCTTTTGGTTTAGGTGTGTCATCATTATCTTTTTTCAACTTTTTGATTTCTTTCTTTAAATCATCAACTTCTTTCATAAGTTCTTGAACAGAAGACCCTAATACAACATTCATTTTAATATAATTCAATTTTAAATAATCATCATCGTTATCTTTCATTACCATTTTTGACCAGTGTTTAGGCATTTTTGAATTAGGCACATCCTGAGCTATAAATCCTATTTCTCGTTCTTCTTTACCTTTAAAATTAAATTCTTTCGGTTTAATGTATTTAACAATGTCATAACAAGTTTTACCACTTATTTCCCTTATGTTTTCTTTAAGTCTTTCGTCTGATGTTTCTGTAGCAGTTCCGTTTACATGTAAGCCAGTGCTTGATACTTCACATATATTAGCTCCATTTATTGATAAAAATATTAATCCGTCAGCATCTGGATTATCTGTTTTTACGCGCTCACTCGTTGAAACTGTTTGATGTGTAATATCTAAATGTCCTAATAAATTCACATTTGCTTCATTTATTGATATTTCAGGTATGCTCCCTACAGTTCCTACAATAAAATGAATTGCTCTATCAGTGTCTCCATTTCTAATATCTAAATCATAGTCACTACCATTTAAAGTTTCTTTAATACCTGATGAATGTTGAAAGAATAACTCGCCCCATACTCTTAAATTAGCTTCTGATGTAATATCACCAATACTATTGAATGTTAAATTATTTGTAACTGCTCTGTTTAATGTTATTCCGTTAGTGTCGGTTAATTGTAGTGCTATAGTTCCTGTTGTAGGATCAGTTGTTCTATCACTTTGAAGACTAAAATTAATTTGTTCTGTTGATATTACATTTAATGAATTACTAGCGTCCGCTCTTTGAAATATTCTTCCGTTTGTGCTTAATAATTGTTGTCCTAAAAATGTTGCGTCGTTTTCTACTCTTGTTTCATTATATACCACCTACTGTTAAATGATATGAAAAGTTATATTGTCTTCCTATTCCTACTGTTGCTGTTGTTTGACTTCCTATTCTTAAACGATAATCGCCTCCTGTGTCGTGTAATATCATCTCTGTTCCATTTGCTGGATTATTTGGGTTCATACATCTAAGTTGTCTGTTTCTGAATTCAAATACTCCTTGAGTGTCTCTAACTCTTAAATTGTAATTAGCATCTCCACTATTTCTAAACATATCTATTCCTGCTGTTGGTAATTGAATATCTCCTGTGTTATTTGTTAAATCTATTTTAGCATCCACTCTTAAATTTTGTCTAACAATAGCACTATCAACAACATCTTGTATAACCACCTGTTAATGTATTTGCTCCTGCATCTAGTAATAAGGAGTGTGATTTAACATATTGATTAGCATTGTTTTTTAAATTTAAAATCCTACCTGTATCACCACTCGAATTACAACAATCAATATTATCATTATAAAAAGTAATATAATTGTCAGTATTTCTAACCGTAAATGATAAATTACCATCTGCTGTATTTTCTACAACTAACCCACCTGTCGGCGCTTCTATTTTTCCTGACATTTTGTATCCTGCATTATTATTTGATAAATCTAATTGTTTTATTGCGTTATCTGATGTATTATTATTACAAAATATTTTATCACCTTGTAAAGTTATATAACTCGTTGCGTTTTTAAACTCTGCTAACACTTTATCTCCGCCTCCTGTTTGATTGCTAAATAATAATCCTGTAGTGGGTGATATATTTATCGTCTCGTTGTTTAATGTTAATCCACTATGAATAATAGTAGGAGCGCTACAATCAATAACTGGAAATGTCGAAAATCTATTAGTAAAATCTGATTTAGGAACTCGTAAATCTAACAAATTATCAATTTCTGTATCAGTGTAACCACTACTGTTACCTCCTGCATTTGATATTAATGTATCCACCTCACCTTTATTATAATAGTTTGTCCCCAATTGGGTGTTAGTCTGATAATTGGTAGATAAGTTTGTATCCATCTCAGTTTTATTGTAAAAATTACTGCTTAACTGGCTGTTAGGTTGAATTTTTTTTTATTAAATCAATAGTTATAGCATTAATATTATTAGATTTTGTAGGTTTTTCGTATTCAAGATTGCTATTTCGTCTGTATTAGCTGTTATTTGTGCGTTGTTTCCTAATTCTGCTTTTGTTGCATATACCTGTGATAAATCAGTTCCACGTATTACAATATTATCTGCTGTTAAAGTATTTGTATTATTTAATGTTAATGGCATTATTAAATTAATTTAGATAATTAATTTAACAATGTTTTATTAGTCGTAAACTTTTAAACCTAAATCCTTAATCTCTAGTATTTGTTCTGAAAGCATAGTTATATACAACCTATCAGGCATGTCATTAGCTGGAATTGTTGCTCCCGCTGGTTTAACTCTTAATAACATTTGTTGACCGG